AGAGAGAGAGAGAGAGAGAGAGAGAGAGAGAGAGAGAGAGAGAGAGAGAGAAAGAGAAAGAGAAAGAGAGATAAGAAGATAAAAGGAAAACTGGAATATACTACATACTTATGTTTTGAGTCATCCTATTATGGGTACGCCCTCTCTTTTTCTCTCTCTCTCTCACACACGCATCCGCCCTTCTTCTCTCATATTATATACATACATTCTTTCTCTCTCTCCCCCCCTCTTCCTCTTCTCTTTCTTACACATGGACACACACAGATACATACATACTCACACACACACACACACGCGCACAAACACACACACACACACATACACACACACACACACACACACACACACACACACACACACACACACACGCTTGCGCGCGCTGTGGCAGACACACACACACACACACACACACACACACACACACACACACACACAAACACACACACACATACACACACACACACGCTTGCGGGCGCTGTGGCAGATACACACACATACACACACACACACACACACACACACACACGCGTGCGCGTGCTGTGGCAGACACACACACATACACACACACACACACACACACACACACACACACACACACATGTGCGCGCGCTGTGGCAGTTACACACACACAGACACAGACACACACACACAGACACACACACACACACACACACACACACACACACATGTGCGCGCTGTGGCAGACACACACACACAGACACAGACACACACACACAGACACACACACACACACACACACACACACACACACACACACACACACACACACACATTTTCACGCTGTCAGCCATTAGTCTCCCCCCCCCCCACACACACACACATACAGTCTGCCTGTTACCTACTATACAATACTCCTACTCATCAGCTCTCCCGACAAGCTTCCTCAAACAGACTCTTTCACCACAGGACGGACGCAGAGTTCATGTGACCCACCTTTGTTTTTGTCGAACATGTCAAACTCATCGATGAGCTGATTGATCTCTAACTCCGTCAGCAAAAGACTCAGATTACTCTGCAGAAAGACAGAAAGCGAAAAAGATTACTTTGCAGAAAGACAGAAAGCGAAAAATGTTGGGAGTGGGGGAGGGGGTGAAAAGAGATGTTGTGGTGCTCTGTTTTCACCATCCAGAGAAGAGTGGAGTGGAGGTATAGTGGAGAGGGGTCTGTCTGAGATGTGCCTGCGCATTTCTTTATTGTATAAATTGTTTCTTTTGTGGCGTAGTTGGGTTGTGTCGCAACTTTTACATCAACATTGACTTTATTTAGTGCAGAGTACAGAGGTACTGTATGTGACATGGTCGGTGGCCGGTGATTTATTAAATCAAATGGCTCTAATCATTATTCCAATTTTCAGAAGTGGCCCGCGAGTGAAAAATGGTTCCTACCCCTGTATTTTGACCATAAATAATGTTTTTGTTTTTGTCTTGTGCCTCTATAAACAAATTATTGATGGTAAAAGTATAGGGGTATGAACCATTTTTCAGCGGGCCACTTCTGAATATTGGAATAATGATAAGAGCCATTTGATTTAATAAATCACCGGCCATGTCACATATACAAAGATATAAAAGTAACCCACCCCCTCCCCGTGAACCATGTTGTCCATCACAGTTACATAGAAAGGCTTGTCAAAGCTTAAGGATTTGTCAATTCCTGTCGTCATGTCCTCAGTATTCTGATCCTCAGTGCTTGTACATGTCGGAGATGAATGGTTTGTAATCCCCCCCCCCCCCCAACCCCCCCTCCTTTAGAACCAGCTATGCGTGTTCTGAGGTCACTTGAGTTTATCCTTACACAAATGTAACAGCTCCAGCCGGTGTTGCTGAGGGCGTTCTCCGCCGCCTGCAGGTCCACGTCTCTGGAACAGACAGAGGTCAAGGACGAAGTTAAAGTAAAGTGGTCCCACTGACCTTTTCCAAAAATTGGTTGGCTTGAATATTTGAGAGAGGCATACGACATGATACATGTACGATAAGCATAAACAGTTGGTGGTTCAGGGAGAAAGCAAGCAAGACAGACTGGAGGAGGGGGGAGATGTATACGTAGACAGGGGATACACAGTGTTTTTTTGGGTTTTTTTGCAACAGCACAGATAGGTGGGAAGTAAAAAAATAATGAGGTATGTCAGATTCTCAACATAAGATAAACCTTTTTTTTATAAAAAGTAGAAGAATACAATACTGTGGTCACAGAAAACGTCACCAGACCATTAAGAAGGAAATTCTCAAAAAAGGCAAGGTATAGGGCAAAACGACTAAAGGTGGACAACGCACAATGAACCGACAACATCAAAGTATGGACTGGGCTAAATGTGACAAAATGTGAGAGAGCAGCTATCGACCGTAAACAATCGCGGGTCATTACTCGCCAACCTTAGAGATAGAATTGACACCTCAGAACCAAAACTAGAATTCCTCGCTCAGAAACAACGACCGGGGGTGGTGATGGGTGTTCTGGTGTGGTTTGCTCCTTCTTTCCTATCTTATAAACATCTATTGACCTTATATCTCCTTCTTTTTTGTGTTTGTTACTCTCTTGTAGAACCTCAAATCTTCGGCACTTATATGACCTAATTATGTTGCAGGTGCCATAAAACGTTTACTAAAATACCCCCCAACCCCCCCCCCCCCCCCCCGCCC